AGAGCGAGTAGGCAATCCCGCCCGCCCCTGCATCTTGTCTGCTCTGAATCATATTGCTGCAGGTTTCAGTGTAACTTACGGTGACGCATTCATACTGTGAGCTTTTCTTAATTACTTTTTCCCGAAAAGAAATGTGCAAATGATGTCATTTAGTGCCATCATCTTGTTGACTTTCGTCGTCTCCAAACCGGCGTCTATATGCTACATACCTAGAGCGAACGGCGCGCCTTCCCTCCCCCCTCTCCTCCTCACCTGCCTTCGACACTTCCTGGTATTTCAATACGCCGTCCAGAATGTGATTCGCATCCGAAGGAGCGTCGCCACGCCTCGCACTGGGTGGGTCCTAACAATGCGGTCCACGTATTCATTGTCACAGTGGTGGGTGCGGGTGCCGAGCCGAGCCGGGCCAGCCGAGGCGGGCCGAGCCGAGCCGAGCCGGACGGCAGCTGCGCGGTGCGAGTGTGTGTGGTGTGCTGCGGGACCCTGGATGCAGGGCACACGCAGATCGGTGGAAGAGAGTCACAATGGTCCACGCCATTGACTGCCGGGCCGGGGTGGGTGAGGCGGGGCAGGGCGGGGCCGCCCGCGGGGCTGAGCACTGTGGGAACTCATCCCGCGCCGAATAGTGTCTTTAGAGCGGTCCCGTGACCGCAAGGCAGCCAGGAGGAGGCAGTCGGGGCCGGGGCCTTTAGTGCGTGGTCTACATCTCTGAATCCGGGGGGATACTGCATTTTTGTGTCAAGCAATGCCACTTGGCAGGGGGGTACATATGGACTAAAGAAAGGATTTGACCCGAAGAGGCATCGAAAATTTCCCTTAGGAAAGATTTTATAAGCCACCAAAATTACCATTGCGCCTTACGGGAGGTCCGGGTAGGCAACCCGCCACACAGTCCCCGCGTTTTCGCCGCTTTTTGCTATTTCTCTGCCGTTTTGACCAACTTCCAGACCAAATTTTTGAGTTCCGTCTTTTGCATTGTGTTCCTTACGAGTACGCGGTCATTTTGAGCTATAGAACACCTCAGAATGTTACTCGCAACGCCCGGGAAAAAGGGTGAAAGGTGAAAGTTAGGTCTCGAAGTGTACAACTTGTTCAAGCGACCTAACCACCCTGTTCACCGATGAAATTTCACGTGTCGACTATTGTTTCCCGTAGTAAAAAGCATGAGGAACACGCTCAAACAAAAAAAAGGCAACTTTTTTCGTGGCAAATCTTAAAATGGCGATTACTTGTTAGTGCGCGCGGGCCGGCCCCGCCTGCCTGCGGGACGGGCCAGGCTGTCGGCCGTGGTGGCCGCGGTCTGCGTAAGACACGCGCATTTTGTCAAAGGAGCCCCAAAATTTGCACAGGAGTTCTTAGAGATATAAGAAACAAATTTTGTCCGAAGCCTTTTGGAAAATTTCGAACCGTTCAAACTTTACTGTTCAATTCGTACAACCTGAACAGAATGGGATAAATAGCGGTGGCTCTGACCCTTATGAAGCCAATACGTGGCGTGCAGCAACTTGGCAACTCCATTCGGTGATGCTAGACACAAAGCAAATGTTATCTAGGTAATTTGAACACCCTTGAACACTTTTTTGAACACGTTTGTACATTGTACGTGTTGGAACACGAAAAAAAAACTTAATGTAGAGAAACCTCAATTCTGACTTCAGATTTGTCATCAGCAGGTTCGTTTCATACGGAAAAAAGTGTCTGACACGTGTCTTTGAAAATACTACATTTTGTTCAACTTAGTGTTCCATCCAGCGTTCGGAACAGGGTTGTCCACGCTACGCCACTGTCCGTGCAAGGCCTCCTGGGGTTGAGGTGTCAGAAGTGTACAGATAAAAAAACATGTTTACGGCGGTTTAACTCACTACAAAATGTACAAACGTGTTCAAAAAAGTGTTCAAGGGTGTTCAAATTACCTAGATAACATTTGCTTTGTGTCTAGCATCACCGAATGGAGTTGCAAAGTTGCTGCGCGCCACGTATTGGCTTAATAAGGGTCAGAGCCACCGCTATTTATCCCATTCTGTTCAGGTTGTACGAATTGAACAGTAA